CCAGACACACACACACACCATCCAGACACACACATACACACACACACACACACCATCCAGACACACACATACACACACACACACACCCCACCCAGATACACACACTGCACATGTTAAATAAATAAATTTGAACAAAGAGAGAGGCACTAAGGTTCCTCAGGACATAGAGGGCTCTTACAGATTCATTGAGAAGCAGGTGGAACTTTGAACCAAAGAAAACTGGCCCAAGAGGACAGATACAGATGACAAAATTCAATCAACTGTAGGGGTTAGGAAATCATTTCATCTCATCATTTAAAGACTAATTAAAATTATGCTGATTAAAACTCAACAATGACATGCTTTTGCCAGTTGGGAATAGTCACTAAAATGCTGTTAATTAGCAGTTGAAGCTTCAGGGTGTTAGATGAGTGTCCCCACCCATGGCTACACCGTGGCTCTGGATCGAAATTGGACACATGCATCCCCGTACGCCACTATTGTCTTTGAATATAGATCCAGAGGTGAAATGCGCCTTCTTTGTGATGTAGTATAGAGGGCCACACAGAAAAATTCAGGTTATAAATCAGCATTTATAATATGATCTCGTGTTTACTAACTAGTGTTCTATTGGAAAGACAGGTGTGCTTTCTTGTGTTAATCAGTGTTCAGCCACTGTGACACAACACTTGACCCAATCAGCTTATCATGGAGAAAATGTCACTTTGGGTCATGATTCCAGAGGCTTTGGTCTATGTTCCGCTGACTCCTTTGGGTCAGTGGTGGGTACAGCATCCTGGCTGGGGTGTGTGGCAAAGGACAGCTGTTCGGTTCATGGAGGCAGAGAAGCAAAGTGGGAGAGAGAGAGACCCCCATCCCAGGATCCCTTGCAGGGCACACACCTGTGACCTCACCCATTCACCTCTCTTCACAACTCCAACACATTCTAAAACACCACCTACTGGAGGCACAGGGTCTTTGAGGCACATTTAACATGTAATCCATTTACATGTCTGACCAGGTCAGACTCAGTTTCTGAGAACATTCAGAGGTGCCAGTCCCTCTCAGCGGAGCCCAGTGCTGGGGTTAACTTGTTCCTCGGCAGCTCCTGCCTGTGACGCTGCTGTAGAGCATGGATACTATGTATGACGTGTCTTTCTAGAAATTTAAAATTTTTGCACCGGTAAAGGGTGATTTCTAGTCAAAAGGGAAATAAAACTACTGTTTCAAATGTCACCTTTGGTTTTTGAAACAAAGTTTCTGCACGTAACAGTCCTGGCTTCCCCGGAACTTGCTTTGTATAAAGGTGTTTGGTAAATGAGGTGGACAGAAAGCCTGGTCAAGGTGAGTTAGGCACATTCTCAGTGCAGCTCCAGGCAGTGCTCCCCACTGTGGGGTTGGGGACCTCAAAGCCTGTTGGCAGATCTCTCTCTGTGTGGAGAGTCTGAAGAGCTCTTGTTGAATTTCATGGCCTATTAGCAGCTAAGTCTATGAAACAGTGGCTTTTTTCTTCTTTCCCTAAAGTAAAGCAGTTTGAAGCCTCTTGCACAGCCTTGTGCCTGCACAGCTTCCCCTGGGATGTACTTTTCCCCTGGGTGTCCTAGGACTATAAAGATAAAAGCTCACACTTGCATGTTCTTCTTTACTAATGACCTGTTGACTCTCAGGACGCTGCTATGGGCAGTTACTATTGTTATTATCCCCTGTGAGGGGGCAGTACTTCTAGCTGAGGGATGGAACAGGCACGGCTGCTCTCTGCCCTGCCAGGGAGCAACTCCTTGCTCGACTTGGCTCTGCTCTTTTCTTTGGAAATATGTTTATGTTTGTTTAAGTATCACCCAGGATTTTCTCCCTCTGCTTTGGGGCTGGATATGGAATTTTCTGCTTCAGAGGGAGGAAGTCTTCTGTGCTCTTAGATCTACCCTGTTCCCAGTGCTGAGTGGTTGAAGGCTTAGGAAGGAAACTCCTGCTCAATGTTAAGGCTCTCTCTACAGAGCCTTCCCCAAAGGGGCAAGGAAAGGGTGTCCTTGAGACCTAGGGGATGCCAAGAATGGCTTGTTTCCGTGAATTAACTTCTCACTTTCCCCTAAGGTCATCTGTGATAAAATATTTCGACGCTGGTTCTCCTCAACTCACAGGAGCCCCGCTGTCTCCCCACAGCTTCGGCTGCAGCTACAGCAGGCTGTTCAGGAGTGTGCTCACCAAGGGGGTCCCTCTGGGTACTCCAGGACTGCATCCTCCGGCGTGTTCCGGAAGCTTCGGTGGCTCCTGCAGGCCACTCTGAGAGAGCTGCAGGAGGCGGAGAAGTAGCTGCTTTCTTGTCTTAGTCATCAAGAGTGGACAGAAGAAGCGACCTTCAAGTGATGGCCTCTTGTTGCCATGCAAACGCGCTGTCCGCGCCATTGACAGGTTCTTCTGGAGAGTGCACCTGACTTTCCCTTCTATCACTGCGGTGGGGACCACCCTTGCTCCTGCCCAGCTTGGTTCGACTTTATTTGTGCTGACTTCTGTCCTGTCCACTCCCTCAGAAGTGAGCCAAGGGAGGGGATTTGGAGTATTTGACCTGTGCAGTTGCAGTGTGCAATTTTCTGACGAGTGCAACCATACCTTGCCATTGCAGACAAAAGGCAGCTGCTCCCTGCGCGCCATTAGCAAGCTCAAGTGTGAGTGTGGGCATACAGATGAGTGTGTTTGCAAATAAGTGTGTGTATATGCGCACCCATAAGTGTGTGAGCGTGTTTGTATAAGTGAATGGGCACTGTGTGTATATGAGTATGTTAATGTGTGCAAACACATGTGGGTTTGTGTGTACATGAATGGATGGTGCACATAGTCTCACAAATAATGTGTATAAACACACGTGCACACACACATGCAATGCACACTCGTGCACATGCACACACACACACATACCTTACCACTGTCTTCCCTTTCCTGACATGTGAAGATGAAGTCTGTGCCAAGAACAGAGGCTGACAGAGCTGGAGGTGATTTTTGTTTGAAAACTGTATCTCAGGTGGGTGTGGTGGTGTGCACCTGTGATCTTCTTACTTAGGGAGATTGCAGATTTAAGGCCAACGTGAGCTACATGATGCTACATGATGAGTGTGAAGCCAGTTCTGTACAGTGAGTTCAGGACTAGCTGACCTACAGATTCAAACTGTGTCATAACAAACACACAAAACCAAACCCCAACAGAACAAAGTTTCCTCTGGAGATTCTCTGCTGACGAGGAAGTGGCGTGAAGATGCCTTCATTGTACCAGTGTGTCCGTCTCTTCGGTGGATCTCACGTGCCTAGACTGCACTTGTTTCCCATCGGGCTATCTTTGCTCAGAGAGAATAATCACCAGTGATGGCTGTCTGAGTTGTCAATGCTGGCAACATCCGGAATTAACTAAAATCCAAGTGGCCGGGTACACCTGTGAGAGATTTTTCCTAATTAGATCATTTGAAATGAGAAACCCACCTTTAATCTAGATCCTCTGAGGTGGGAAGATGCACAGTTAATCTGGCCCTTGCTTTCTGTAGGATGTCCCATTTTGTCCATGTGGTCAGGATGCCAGAGGGGGAGGGAAAGGACAGAGCTATGGAAGGAAAGGAGAGAGGAAGAGAAGGTTTCCATATATCCTTCAAGGGCATGTGCTCAGTGCCCTTTCCCCACAACTGGTTCTACCTGCGGGCATCTCCACCTCCTCCCAATAGCACCATCAGCTGAGAACCAAGCCTCCAGTGTAAGAGCTTTTGGGGAACATTCCAGATCTAAGACATCACCTTTGATGGCTTCTTTTTGAAATGGTGTAATAAAGGGCCGTCTGCCTCCTAGGCTGTGTCCTTGCCTTGCTTGTCTGGTTTTCAGTTTTGGGTAAGCGAACGCGTTCTGAACAATTGTCCCACCCTTTGCACTTAAAGCCCACATGGAAGACATTTTATAGCTGACATTGACCTGGGTCCAGCTCCTTGTGCTTTTCAGGGGTTGTGTCTTTCACTCTAACAAATTGCTGAAGCTGAGCTTCACTGGAAATGCTACAGAAGAGCTGGCCAGATGGCTCAGCTGGTAAAGGTGCACGCTACCATGTCTGCTCGCCCTCTTTGTTCCCTGGGACCAGGGAAAACTCGTTCCTCAGGTGGAAACCCATCCAGACGGCAAACCACTGTGGAACAAGGTGAAGGTGGGATTGAAGTATTTCCCCTGAAAGCCTCTCAATGTGAGTTTTGTTTTCTTTGTTTGTTTGGTTGGTTTTATATCCAGAAATAAAGCTACTCACTTTGACTTTTCATGAAAATTGTAGCTTCTTATGGGGTTTGAAGAGATGCCTCAGTATTTAAGATCATTTGCTGCTCTTGCAGAGGAGTCTGGCTAAGTCCCCAGCTCCCACATAGCTGCTCAAAACCACCTATAACTGCAGTTCTCTCTTCTGGACTCCATGGTCACTGGACAACACCCAGGGCAATATACACATGAAGAAAACACTGCATATAAAATAAAAATGAATAAAAATCTTTAAAAAATCCTATACATGCACTTTTAATTTTAAGTGTGTGTGTGTGTGTGTGTGTGTGTGTGTGTGTGTGTGATAGCCCACATGTGGTGTAACTTACCATAACAGAGGATAACGTGTGGGAATGAGTTCTCTCCTTCCACCATGGTTTCCAGGGATCATAGGCAGGTGGGCAGGCTTGGTTGTGTCAGGTGTAAGGAAACTCCATTTCCCCAAATTCCGTCAGTTGAACAACAGCCAGCATCCTCTGCAAGTTGTGAAGTTGGTTCCCCTCTGCCCAAGAAGCCATTTCCCTTATCATGGAGAAGAGATAACTACAGCATTAAAGTGCATGGTGGCCTCCAGACTCCCTCAGCATCACAAGTACCTGTTACACATTTTGGAGTCAGTGTTGGCATCCTAGCTCTTCTTGAGTTTTCTAGCCCTAAGCTCCCTCCAGATCAGGAGCTTTCCTTCCTGCAGCTTCACCTTCTCCTTATAACCCTGATATTTCCTCTGTGTGCTTCCTCTTGTTTTCCTCTGCTGTGGGGCAATGGTCTTGTACCCTGTAAAGATTTGTCACTTGTATTGGTTTAATAAAATGCTGATTGGCCAGTAGCCAGGCCGGAAGTATAGGTGGGGTGACCAGAACAGGAGAATTCTGGAAAGAGAAAAGGTTCAGTCTGCAGTCGTCACCCAGACACAGAGGAAGCAAGATGAGAATGCCTTGCTGATAAAAGGTACCAAGCCATGTTGCTAACACAGACAAGAATTATGGGTTATTGTAAGTTATAAGGGTTAATAGGAAGCCTGAACTAATTGACCAACCAGTTTATAATTAATGTGGACCTCTATGTGTTTTTTTGGGGGGGGACTGAAAGGCTGTAGGACAAGGCAGGACAGAAACCTCTGTCTCTCTCTCTTGGTCTTCATCTATTACCCTTTTCCCATTCACTTCTACTCTGCCTCTCTCCTGGCCAGGTCCAGTCTGCTGGCGATGCTCAGTCTACCGCTTCCTCTCTCTGCTCTGGACTCCTCCAGATGCCTCTGCCTGCTCTCTCCCTCATATCTATACTGAAACCCTTCCCCTTAGCTCTACCTTGGAACAGCCCTGTAGACAGTTTATATAGGTAGCAAGTTACCAGCTGAGCCACTTTTCTAGCTTTTCAGTAGCATTTCTAATTTGTTAGAGTAAAACCCTCCCCCGAAAAGTACAGAAAGTGGAACCCAGGTCAGTGTCAATGCAAATATTAAATTTATATTTAAAAACTATGAGATTATTTCTGCATTTTTTTTGTAACTGGATTGCTTGGCTCTTGAATGTGAAGTTCTAGATGACAGTGTTGGGTCATTGTTAAGCACTGGGCACTGTTGTAGGGTTCTGTGGTCTAGGCCACGTAGAATTCCAGCACATCCAGAAGTCATCTTGTCACACGTCCCCATGACGCTGCAGGGTCCTTCTAGTGGCTCCAGCGTTTCTTCAGGAAGCTCTGCCCTTCCTCTTGCTTTGTCTCTTCCCTCCCATTGCTGAGGATGCTGGTGTTTCCATCTGATCTCAGCAGTACTGGCAGAATTACTGCACTTTCTCCCATCTCTGTCTCTGAGGCAGATATCTATTGGAACTCTGTTCAGGACATTAGAGAAGACCTAGATGTTTTGATAGAGCAGAGCCACAGTTTCCCCTCTTTAAAAGCACATTTTCCAGGTGTTGAGCTCAACTATGAGAGAACATACAGGAATACAGAGTCAGTGCCTTCACTGGCTTGCCTCAGACTCCCTGGGCCTTCCTTTAGGCTCTTGCAAGGTTCTGAGCCCTCCTGTGGTTCCATTTTCTTCCCTTTAATCACTCCCCCCTTTCATCCTGACCAGGTCCTGGCATTTCTTTGAAGACTGAGAGATGAAACCAGAGTGAACAGTGTAATAAGAGGCTGCATAATTCTGAGGAAACTACACCATTCTTTAAACTGGCGCTTTTGATCAGGGTTCTTGCTTATTGCAAACATTCCTTCTGCTGAATTGTAAGCTTGGCTATTATTTTTTTTAAAACATTTACTGGAATCATCTGTAGGCCAACTCTTCACTAGATTTTAGTTATTCCAGGTACAAAGAAACACTCCTTACCCTCACCTAGCAACCAGGTGACTGCGTAGGTCTCAAGTTGTGAACCTCTCGCGTGGGTGTCCATGGTAAAGAAGTGACCAGTGCTCTGGGAACTGTACTCCTTCCCCAGACACCTCTGGTGGTTTAAGTGGCAAGACCCTCACGGCCCTCACATATTTTCATGCTTAGCCCCCACCTGAGGAGCTGATGGGAAGGATTGGGAGGTGTGGCCATGTTGCAGAAGGTCTGTCCCTAGGGGTGATGCTGGGAGGTTTCAAAATCCATATCCAGGCCCAGGGTCTCTCTTTCTCTGCCTGCTGCTGATCAGGATGCAAAGCCCCCAGCTACTGCTCCAGTGACTGTCTGCTTCCCACCATGATAATCATGGACTGACCCTCTGAAACTGTAAGCAAGCCTGGTTAAATGCTTTCTTTAAGAGTTGTCTTGGTCGTGGTGCAGCTTCACAGCAGTAGAAAACAGTGACTAAGACAGCCTCTGACCCCACCCCCTTCAGGACACTCAGGCCTCCAGAGTCCTTTCTCTGTGGAGTGTCTTATGTTGTGAGCTTCGTCCTCACTTCAAGATCCAGGAAGGGCAGAGAGGGAACAATTAGAAGCAGCCAATGACGGACTGCACTTCACGAGCACTCATTTGGGGAGCACAAAAATCTTGCTGCCTCTGAGAGTTTTGTACACAAGGCCAATTTTTACAGCAAGAGTTGAGATAAAAGAGACAAAGCAAAACTAAGTGTTTTAGCTTGCACTTGAAGAATGAAGTCAATAAACCTGAGTTTTCTTGTCCTGGTGGCAAAGTATACACGATGCAAAGTTTGCTACTTCACCAGAGGATTAATGCTATGGGAACTCCTTCAGCCAGTAGCCTTTACGATAGCAGCCCACTTGGGCATGGTCTCTTGTGCTATAAATGCAGATGTAAAGCTTGCACCGCTCTCTATTGGCTGCTGGATTCAGTTCCTATTCCCCACTCATGCAGAGGACTGTTGATCTGTGAGTCTACACCTAAATAAAGCACCCTTCAGTATACTCCACTCTGAGCTAGTGTGGGACGACTTTATTGTAATCATCTACAGATTATGATAGTAGGAGGCTTCCTGGAGACTGGTGAGGCTGCCGTTTCCCAGAAGGGAAACCTTACTTAGTGAGAACTTGATGCCATCATAACAAATCATGTCTATAATCTCAGGCAGTGCCAGTGTTGAAATGCTGGGTGTGGAAGCTCATGGAGGATCTGAGGACAGATTGTACTGCACGGTGAATTATAGGCCAGTCTGGGCTATAGAGCGAGGCTGTCTGAACAAAGCAAAGCAAAGTGTAACAGGAGACTTTAAGCTTCTAAACCACCAGTTTCTGTCCTAAACAATAGACAGAGATCAAACCAAAGACATGCATTATCTGTGTTCTCATACTCACATGTGTGTGCACTCATGCTAACACAAGACACAACTCTCTCTCTCTCTCTCTCTCTCTCTCTCTCTCTCTCTCTCCTCATTGGCTATTTAAAGCAACATTAGGTCAAACTGTGTCTACAATGAGTGGACCCTGGGCCCAAGCCTGCCTCTGACCTTTCTCCCTGGCTCACAATGTTCCTCTTAGGGCAGAGCATCATGGGAGGAACCACCAGAAACATCCTCAAGGCTCAGGCTGCTTAGGTACTCTCCAGAAGCACTGGTGGTGCACATCTTAGTTCCTGGTCATCAGGAATGCAGGTGCAGGTGTGTGCAAGTATGTGCATAGAGGAGACAGCAACCTGCTGGAGCAGCCTGATAGCCAGGTGACATACACTCAGAGACCTGAGGGCGTAGAGAGCAGGCATTCCCCAGCCGTGTCTCTGCGTGGGTGCCTGCATGTCACTACTCATAGGCTGGGCATGCTTAGCAGGCTATGGTGGGGCTTTGCAATTTTGGCCTATACCCCACCCCTAATTTTTTAAAAGTCAATTTCTACTAAGTCCTCGGCATCTCCTTCTGGCATCGTGGGTCCTGGTATGTTAGCACATTGTCCCACATTGCTTAAGCAGCAAGCCTTGGCCAGGCATGTGAGCAGGTCATAGGCATGCTGTCATTGGGAACCATAGTTTTGTCCAGGAGAGATTATTGACTTGCACAGGCCTCCAAGGGCTTAGCAACTGTGGCACTTTACCTGACGTCATGAACTTTAAGAGAGAGCTGCCCCTACCCACTCACTCGTCCTTGTGGCTTTCTGAGGTTGAGGAACTACTGTTCCTGAGATGGGAATGGCCCCCATCCACTCGTGTATTTGAGTGCTTGTCCCATAGAGAGTGGCACTATTAGGGGGTGTGTTAACTTGGAGGAAGTGTGTTAACGTGGAGGCAGGATTTGAGGACTCAGAAGTTAGGCTCAGTGAGGCATTCACTTCTGCTGCCTGCAGATCAAGATGTAGACCCCTCAGCCCCATCTCCAGCACCATGTTTGCCTGCATGCTGCCTTGCTCCCTACCATGGTGATAATGGACTGAAACTCTGAAACTGTAAGTCAGACCTGTTGAAATAGGAGCAGCAGGGCTGCATCCCCGGCACCTGGCCGCCCGCATGGCTAGTTTATACCCAGAAATAATTACACGGAAACTGTATTCTTTCAAACACTGCCTGGCCCAGCTAGGCCCAGTTTCTTATTGGCTAGCTCTTATATATTGTTCTAACCCATTTCTAATATTCTGTGTAGCCCATGAGCTGGCTTACCAGAGAGGATCTTAACCTGCGTCTGTCTGGAGCGGGAGAATCATGGCGAC